TTATAACCCCCCAACAACAACACACACATAACACACACATTTAATTCCAAAAACATTTTTTATTTTCATATAATAAATTAACAAAAAATAGCCACAAATTTAACTAGTCTCGTTCCTTGCCCTCTGATTGCAGTCTTAAAACACGGGTTGCATGCTTTCACGGAGTAAATAAAAATCCATGCATTGAAACATAACACGGGTGACTTATTTGCCTACATTTTTGTTGACTGACATTTTTTAAAGTTAACCTTAAACGCTGCACAAGCAGTAATTTAAAAATACTATGGGACAGTTATTTTTTTTTAAATTTTATTTTTATTTTTATAAATATAAATAATAGGGTTTGATAACACATTGAGAATTCTGTAAAAGAAAAAAATGAATAAGTAAAATGATTGATTTAACAATAAAACTCAAAAGTTTTTTTTTCTATTCTTTTTCATGGTGTATAAGTTTCAGTTTTTTACAACATTACTCAGCATAAGCCCCACTCGAAAATTTTCGAGTGTGGCTTATGCTGATAATGTTGTAAAAAACTGAACTTATACACCATGAAAAAGAATAGAAAAAAAAACTTTTGAGTTTATTGTTAAATCAATCATTTTTACTTATTCATTTTTTTCTTTTACAGAATTCTCAAATGTGTTATCAAACCCTATTATTTATATTTATAAAAATAAAAATAAAATTTAAAAAAAAAATAACTGTCCCATATTATTTTTAAATTACTGCTTGTGAGCGTTTAAGGTTAACTTTAAAAAATGTCAGTCAACAAAAATGTAGGCAAATAAGTCACCCGTGTTTATGTTTCAATGCATGGATTTTATTTACTCCGTGAAAGCATGCAACCCGTGTTTTAAGACTGCAATCAGAGGCAAGGAACGAGACTAGTTAATTTTGTGGCTATTTTTTGTTAATTTATTATATGAAAATAAAAAATGTTTTTGGAATTAAATGTGTGTGTTATGTGTGTGTTGTTGTTGGGGGTTAATAAATAAAATATATACAAAAAAACAAAAAAAATATCTAGTATTCTTCATTCTCTTCCATCTCAGAGTCACCAAGAGAGTCAGCACCAACCCCTCGTAATCCTTTTCGAGAGCGGCTAAATCTTCACGAGCTTCAGAGAATTCACCTCTTCCATACCTTCACCGACATACCAATGAACGAAAGCACGCTTAGCGTACATTAAATCGAACTTATGATCAAGACGAGCCCATGCTTCAGCAATGGCAGTAGTGTTAGATAACATACAGACAGCACGTTGCACTTGAGCTAAATCACCACCAGGGACAATTGTAGGAGGTTGGTTATTAATACCAACCTTGAAACCAGTAGGACACCAATCGACGAATTGAATGGTACGCTTGGTCTTAATAGCAGAGATAGCAGCATTGGTATCCTTGGGAACAACATCACCACGATACAACAAACAACATGCCATATATTTACCGTTACGGGGATCACACTTGACCATTTGATTGTTGGGTTCGAAACAAGAATAGGTGATTTCGGGAACTGACATTTGTTCATGATAAGCCTTAGCAGCAGAGATAATAGGGCATAAGTAACCAAGGGAAATGAATACGAGGATAAGGAACCAAATTGGTTTGGAATTCATTCAAATCAACGTTAAGAGAACCATCGAAACGAAGAGAAGCAGTAATAGAAGAAACAACTTGAGCAATCAAACGATTTAAGTTGGAGTAAGTAGGACGTTCAATATCCAAATTACGACGACAGATATCATAAATAGCTTCGTTATCAACCATGAAGGAGACATCGGAATGTTCAAGAGTTGTATGGGTGGTCAAGATAGAATTATAAGGCTCAACAACAGAGGTAGATAATTGAGGTGCAGGGTAGACAGAGAACTCAAGCTTGGACTTCTTACCGTAATCCACTGAAAGACGTTCCATCAAAAGAACCAAACCAGAACCAGTACCACCACCGAATGAATGGAAAACAAGGAAACCTTGAAGACCAGAACAGTTATCGGCTAACTTACGAATACGGTCCAATACATTATCAACCATTTCTTTACCAACAGTGTAATGACCACGAGCATAATTGTTTGCAGCATCTTCCTTGCCACTGATCAATTGTTCTGTATACATATATAAGAAATCTGTACATTTTATAAATAGATTACGAATCTAACTTACCAGGATGGAAGTGTGACGATAAGCACCAGTACGCACCTCATCAATTACTGAGGTTCCAAATCGACCATAACGGTACGAGGAACGTGCTTACCACCTTCAGTCTCAGAGAAGAAGTCTCGAACCTATTTCAATGTGCGGTTTAGTCATACATGAACAATTTTTTTTTTTTTTTAATAATAAATAACTTACGATGATCATCGACATGGGTACCTTCAGGGAAACGTCCATCAGGTTGGATGCCATGCTCATGACAATACTATAAAGAAAAAATTACATTAAGATTTTTATTTTTATTTTGTTGCTAAAAGTCTTACCAATTCCCAACAGGCATTACCAATCTGGACACCAGCTTGACCTAAAAAACAGAATTCGGTAATATTAGTCTATTGCCTAACAACTAGATAGAATAACTTACCGACGTGAAGTGAAATAACTTCTCTCATAATATTTTATTTTTCTTTGGGGGTTTAGAAGAGTTTTAAATTTGGTAAAAGCTAAGGTACCAAAAAACTCGAATGAAAAAAAAAAAAAAAAAAA